TGCGTTCCAAAGATCACGTTTGCTGAACTCTGACCTGTGACATGATATCGCATGAATCCGTGTGACCTCGCAGCTGAATTAATGATTGGAGCGTCGCAGTAAAGTCAAGTAGATCACATACACAGCTGCGTAGATTTACTTACAAACTGTAGTCCGTTACTGATTACTGGACGAAAGTTGTAGTCCGTAACATAATCATCACATCACACATTTTAGGTAATATAATTATACTACTTATTGATTACTTTTGACCATTTCTCACATTGATTTAAATAATATAATCTTGTACCATATTGATATTAAAAATACAAAGAGTAAGAAAAAATATTCGGTTCGTTGTAATTAACGAAGTGCATTACATTATAAAGGTTTCCCAAACGGGTTCATAAAGGAACTGCAGGGGGTTCGTGAGTTTAATGAAAAGCTAATAATTAAATGATAAAAAATATAAAAGTAAAATAAGTCATTTTAAAATAACATCAATCAAAATATAAACATTTTATTTCTTTACCTGCATGTCATGTGACCGTGAACACGTGATTCTGAATAATTACAATATTTATATTAAATCTCAGGTACTTCAAGTAAATATATTAGCTGAAAGCAGTTTGGGAATCCCTGCATCACATGGAAGAAAGAAATAACATGAATGTGTGCGTTAGAAAGACAAAACTGTTCAATAACTCACGGAGTGATAACTCAAATAAAGAGTGTGTTCATCAGTAGTTGATGCGGTGTTGAAATATCGAGAACACACTTCTTAAAGCTGAAAGTATTTCTGTGAATCCAGAGCTCAGATGCTGTATACTCACCGGACTCATGATCTCTGTGTGAAACTGAAGACTTTCTGAATGTATATAAGCCTAGGATAACTTAGGAACATTTAAAAGAGGAATTAGAGTGAATCAATAAATTATGAACAATTTATTGCTATTGTGTGATTAATATGTAATCATGTAATCAATAAAAAGTAACTAGTCTGATTACAAGTACTTAATTTTTGGAATCTGATGATGTAATCCAGACGAGTTACTCCGCAGCTCTGATAACATGTTTTTACATGTCTGGTGCATTGTGTGTAGACGTCGGATTAGGACGGTCGGCGTGTTGCGTGTGCGGTCTGTAACGTGTTGCGTGTGCTGGTGTTGTTCAGGTGTGAGCGTGGAGCATGACGAGCAGAGAGCAGGCCTGGTTCGAGGATTCAATCATCCGTGTGGCTGGTTCTGTGTGCCGGCGCAGGACTCGGATCTCAGCGTGCTGACCGGATACATCCAGACGGAGCTGAGGGGCATGCTGCCGCAGCCGGCGGTGGACACAGCTATGGCCAGCGGTCTGCTCCACTTCTACAGTGACCTGAGACGAGCGCTGAACACTTAGTGTTTCATCTGATGAACTCTAACGAGCCCGCTCTGGTGCTCCTCACATACAGGGTTTTGTAAATAATCGTCACCACGGCACGTTCATTTATTATTGCACGTTTTGTTTTGTTTGTTTGCTTTTGGTTTAATGTGATTAACCAGTGTAATTGTTTTTCATAAAATTGTAAACGTTGATATAGTTTTTTTTTAATCTTAAATTTCTCTTATTCTTTATCATTATTTATCTCTCTTTGTAACAGTTGGACAGATTCATTTGTGTGTTTATTGTCCTCATATGCAAGAAATACTCATAAGTTACAGCATAAAGTAGGTGGGTTTTATTCTTATTAAATTAAGACACAGTAGGAACAGGGTCTGTGCTTTAATTGCTGAAACTATTTGTCATAAATGTGAGCCTGCAGCACAAAAGCAGTGTTAAGTCGCTGGGGTATATTTGTAGCAATAGCCAACAATACATTGTATGGGTCAAAATTATACATTTTTCTTTTATGCCAAAAATCATTAGGATATTAAGTAAAGATCATGTTCCATTAAGATATTTAGTAAATTTCCTACCGTAAATATATCAAAACGTAATTTTTGATTAGTAATATGCATTGCTAAGAACTTCATTTGAACAACTTTAAAGATGATTTTCTCAATATTTAGATTTTTTTGCACCCTCAGATTCCAGATTTTCAAATATTGTCCTATCCTAACAAACCATACATCAATGGAAAGCTATTTATTCAGCTTTCAGATGATGCATACATCTCAATTTCACAAAATTGACCCTTATGACTGGTTTTGTGCTCCAGGGTCACATATAATTAATTATCGGGAGGCAGTGACATGAGCAACATCGCAATACAAAGCTCCAGAATTCCTTGTCAAAGAGTTTTTCTCAAACGCTGACGAAACTCAGATGTTCTGATGAATTTTGCAAAATCACTCCACCATCGAGAAACGGAGCCTGTGAATTTCAGGTGCTGCATTTTCGTTGAAGGCTGTTATTTATTTAAGCGGTCCTGCAGAGTGACCAATAACGTCTGCTTGAAATTCATTTATCGTTCTTTATTTCTATGATGCTTTGTACAGGACAGATTGTGTCCATGGTTGAGTTTCCAGCATTGATTCTGCTGGTCTCTGACACAAATCCGTATTGTATAAAGTGCTGCAGAAATGAAAAAGGTGACTTGACAAATGAATTTCAAGAACAAACATGCCCACAGGCACTGCATAATAATAAAGTGAATTTATGTTTTAGTTAAAGTATGGCAAATATAGAGGTTTGCGTGATGATAAAAAAATCTGGAATCTGAGGGTGCAAAAAAATCTAAATATTGAGAAAATCATCTTTAAAGTTGTTCAAATGAAGTTCTTAGCAATGCATATTACTAATCAAAAATAAAGTTTTGATATATTTACGGTAGGAAATTTACTAAATATATTCATGGAACATGATCTTTACTTAATATCCTAATGATTTTTGGCATAAACAAAACATACAATGTATTTTTGACTATTGCTACAAATATACCTGTGCTACTTATGACTGGTTTTGTGGTCCAGGGTCACAAATAGAATTGACACAATTTTAGTGTAAATAAAAACAATATAGTGATTTTCCACCTTCAACCGATGTCCCTTTAAGTCGTTAATATGCGATGACGCTGAAGCGGAAGCCCCGCCCACCGACGCAGCTGCGTTCGTGCGTGCGCGCGGCAGCGGAGAAGTTAGTGCGATGAGTGTGGATCCGGATCGCAGATGAGGTTCGGCACTTCTGCCGCTTCTAACGCGCTCCGTGGGCGTGGCTATGTGAGTCTGACAGCGGCTGACGCGGGTTCCGAGATCCGGTGATGCGATGCGGTTCGGTTCGGGTCTCCATGACAACAGAATCAGCGGAGTGAGTAACTTTAATAACACGCGAGACATCAGAGACAGCCGCGCAGATGATCGAGCTCGATCCGCCGTGTGTTCTGCTGCTGTCCGTGTGTTTGTCCTTTAAGATCCACTTACAGGAAAATCCTATTTCTGTTTCGCTTTGAATGTGGAGGGTTTTCCCCTCATCATCATCATCACACGTGGCCTGTTTCTCTGTGTGTGTGTGTGTGTGTGTGTGTGTGTGTGAGTGTCTTGTGAGTGCCTTGTGAGTGTGTGTGTGTGTGTGTGTGTGTGTGAGTGTGAGTGTCTTGTGAGTGTGAGTGTGTGTGTGTTGTGTGTGTGTGTGTGTG